GTTCCACTTATTTCTAATCAATGAACTCATTTAATCTCTATAACCACCTATGAATTAGGCACTATTAATAACTCGATTTTTAATAGATGGGAAATCCTCACTAGGGATTTAGTAGCAGGGCTGGAATTCAAACCAGGAAACCAGGCTCTGGGGTTCTGGATGCCATCATCCCACTGTAGCTCACTGAGATGATAATAACTGATGTTTAAGGAACACTTACTGTGGTCCAGGCTCTGTCAAGCTTTAAATGCATCACCTTATTTAACTATCACAACATGAAAGATATATACTATAGTTATCCTACTTTACAGGTGAAGAGCACAAGTTAAGTAGCTTAATAAAATAAACATATAATAAGAAGCTGAATGGGGGACTACAGGTTCACACCATTCCACCTAGACTTTTTTTTTGAGACAGGGTCTCATTGTGTCACTCAGGCTGGAGTAGTGACATGATCATGGCTCACCACAGCCTTGACTTCTTGAGCTCAGATGATTCTTCTGCCTCAGCCTCCCCCGGGTAGTTAAGACTACGATGCCCGGCTAATTTTTTGATTTTTTAGAAAGATGAGGTCTTGCTATGCCGCCGAGGCTAGTTTTGAACTCCTGGGCTCAAGCATTCCACCTAACTCAGCCTCTCAAAGTTCTGGGAATACAAGTATAAGCCACCATGCCTGGCCCCACCTGGCTAACTTAAAAAAAAAATGGTAGAGATGGGGTCTTGCTATGTTACCCAGACTGGTCTCAAACTCCCAGCCTCAAGTCATCCTCCCACTGTGGCCTCCCAAAATGCTAGGATTATTGGCATGAGCCACTGTGCCTGGCCTGAATGAACATTTAATTCCAGGTAGATTCAAAAGGCTGAGTTCTTAATCTCCTCTTGTTTAAAATGATCCACCCACCAAGCAGGTAGACACACATTAACGAAAGAGGTTCCCTGGTCTAGACAAGCTGGACTTCCATACTTTTTGAGTAAAACACCAAACCTTGATGGACTCTCGTGTGCTATTAGAAGTACTTTTAGTGTTGGCTGATTGAGAAAAAAGTGACTATAAATTTAATAACTTGTATGGTGTTAATCATAAGAGTATCTACAGGCATTTGAAAAAGGTAAGGTATTATTTAGGTAGTCTTTGTATTAAAATCTAAATTCCTAGAACCCTTATAATATCTTTATGACCAGTATTCCTCCTTCTCCTCCCTTTCTGGAAGCCCTTCCTGCCTTCTCTACCCTAAGATCCTTTGGTTGATTCAAGGGGTTTCAAGGTAAGAACAAGGTAAGACATTTCATTCCAAAGAAATATATTACCCATGAAATGTTCAAAGATCTAACAATAATCTGGCATCTAAGGAAAGGCCTATAATATAATAGAAAGAGTGCAGGCTTTGGAATATGAAAATTCACCTAGCTGTTTACAAGCCATATGACCCTGGACAAGGGCTTTAGTCCCTCGAAGCTTGTCAACAGATTTCCGTGTTGCCAGCAATATCCAGTGGATGAATGGTAAGAGCAATAATAACTATCAACAGAGTGCCTACACATGGCATGCTATCTCATTTAACCCTCATATGGTCTTGGTGAGTTAAATATTTTTCTCAAGGTCTCACAGTAAAATGTATCTCATTCAAAAAGTATCTACTGAGCACTAACTACATGTCGGGCAATGTGTTAGGTACTGGAAATCCAAAGACGAGTAAGATGCAGACCCTACTTCCTAAGAGCTTACAGCCTAGTGAAAAATCAAGAGGTTCTTTCTTGAAGATGAAGTGCGGGGTACACACCAAATGCTCAACAAACAATAGTCCTCTTTCTTTTTTCAACTGTTACTTCAATAGTATGTGACACTGAAGTTAATAAATCCAAGGAGTAAGGGTTTTTGAAGAGCATAGTTTTTTATACTTTTGAAATTAACTTTTCAAGATCACAATAGTAAAGCAATACTTCAACTACAATTCTTATTTTTTCTTTCTGTTATAATTTGTTTTATCATATTTACACTATAATGTTTTCAGCTAAAAAAAACCCCAAAAGCAAACAATTCAAAGTCACAGAAATCTATTTATAATGGCTTAGTGGCTTGACATAAGCTTTTTTATACTTAAGTTCTGAGGCTGACTAAAATGTTTGCTGCAGGTTAGAATTTGTATCTGGAAATGGGAGTATCTTATACTGTCTTTAGAACACATTAAATGGTCCACAGATGGAAGCTGCTAGCATTAACATTATCATTGTAATAGCAAACTTAGAGATTCCCACTGAACTTGATTTCCACAGTGCTGTATTACTTTGAATAGTATATAAAAAAGTGTGTCTTTGAACAGATACATGAAGAGCAATGAATTAGTGGATGAATTTTTTAAGGATAGGTGGCAAACCTTTCAGGTCTACATCGAAATGTACTTCTCCTTAGGATAGTCAGCTGGGGAGATGAATGGCCCTGAAGCATATTTTGCTCAGGTGGACAAGCCAATGAACCCCGTAACCTCAGTCTAAATGCATACTTGGCCTTCTCCTGGATTACTGTGATAAGAACAATCTGCAAAGGTGACAATGATTGGGTCCTTCGAGATGAAGGAATTCCCATGTGCTAGGGGACCCCAAACAAAGACCCCAAGTTTTTGGACAACAAGGGCTCTTCTCGCTTTTTCAGAGATCACTGAATCCCTTTATGTTTTTCTCAGAAAACTGCTGGACTTGATTTTCAACCTAATTCTAAGCAATCAGTGGTGGCTAAAACTGGCTACCGAAACCTTCTGAGGGAGCAGGAGTATGATTACAAGTGATGTAACGGACAGCAAAGAAGTCTGGTCAAGAGCCAATAAAAAGTGGAGAACAGAATAACACAAACCAGTGGAAGGGAACCAGTGTGGGGGTGGGGAGAACCATTTCCTCTGGGCTGCTCTGGGGGCAGGAGAGTGCTGAAGTTTGCAGCAGGAGGAGTTGCTTGTCGATGTCCATGTGGCCAGCAATATCCAGTGGACTAACAGGAACGACAGTGATAACGATCAACAGAGTGCCCACACACAGCATGTTATCTCATTTAATCCCCATATAATCTTGATGAGTTAAATACTTTTCTCAAGGTCACAAAGGAAATGGTAAAGCTGGGGTTCAGCCTCAGATCTGACAGATGCCACAGACCCTTCTCTCAGCCACTAAGCGGAGCAGCTGATGTAGTGTCTGCTGTTAATTAGAGCCTTAAGAATGCATGTAAACAGTTGGCTTGCCCACAATAATGTGTTTTGGCAGGAAAGAAAAAGGGAAGAGGAAGGTAACTTAGTTTTCTTTATTTTTAGCAAACTGCCCAAGGTCATGTAACTCGTAAGCTGTGCCACTGATGCACTTCACCAGCCATGTGATCTGCCATCACTCTGCCCTGCTTTCCACAGCAAATTCTAAGAGGAGCACATAGAAAGAGCACGATAAGGCCATTGCATAACTTGTCAAACTGCCCAACAAGGACTGTTACAGGCTGACAGGCAAAGCGAAGAGCTCTCCAGCAGAGGGTAAAGAGAGTAAGGGCACACACGGTAAATCTTTTACTAAAAAGTCATCATCTATATAGTCAAATGGTCAGAAATTTTCACTCTAGTATACACAGGTAACTGTAGATAGAATGAAATACAGGCAGGTCAAAATGATCTAATTTCCATTCGTGTATCTTTGATGCCTAGGCCAGTACATGGCAGAATGGAAGCTTAATAAAAGATTGCTGAATGAGCAAATCACTGTTGCCTCAATCATAATTACTAACTAATCCCAGTCTGTGGGCAGGATTTCTGCTATCAGACAGGTAGCTGGTCACAACTGGCACAACAGTTAAAAAACTTTAGCTGGGCTGTCTGAAGGAAACTGAAGACCTCTGAGAGACCACCACAAGTGTTCTGCAGGGGCAAGGGACAGAGACAGTGCCACTGCTCAAGTTCCATAAAGGATAATACTCTTTAAGAGGCATGCAATCATCTACCACAAAGGACTCCGCTCCAAGTAAGTACCCAGCGCCTTCTGTGTGTTAAGTTCTCTGTGAGGGCTGAAGTCAGAAAGATGAGCAGGACTAAGTATGTGCCCAGGGGGGCTCACACTAGCAGGATGACGGGTTCTGCAGAAGGGAGAGAGAGAGACGCCTGGACTGATGTCTGACAGACCCAAGGTTGAGTGTCCAATTCTGCCATTTACTAGCCAAGTTATAGCTCCTTTTTGTGCTTCAGTTTCTTCACCTGTAAAATGAAGTTATAATACCACATGGGTTGTTAGGAGAATTAAGTAAAATATATTTCTGAAGATGTTACTTCCCTTCCTCCTTGATAGAGAGAAATCTAAACTCAGCCCCAAGTAATGAAAAAGTACCATGGTAATACTTGCTCATTCCTCATTTCCACTGTTCTGTGAGCAATTAATTCAGCCATGGATCCAGGCCATCACTTGGCACGAGATGGTGCAATTTGACAACAAACTTTTCCTCTGCACTGAGATTACTGGGTTAAACAGGAGGCATTTTGGAAGGTTCTTGGTGTACTTTGCCATTTCCATCCCTGCTTGATACAATTTCCACTATAAGTTTTACATCTTTAAGAATTAAAAATAATTTTCTGCTAGTTTCAAAAGGGCAAAACTTACTGTGCACTTCTTTGATGATTACCAAGGTTGAACACAGGTATGGTTTTGCTTCCTACATTATTTTTTCATGCAAAAAAAAATCCCCTATCGTCCTTATAAGTCAGAATGCTAGGTTTTTCAGAATTAACAACTGATTATATTTTCCAATAAATAAAATTATAAAAATCAAACAATACCCGATTTAGTTTGAGGGAGCAAAAAAAAAAAAGTTGCTGGTGGTGTAATGATGCGGACAACCATAGGAAAATACCAAAAAATTTTTTAAAGGATATCCTGAATTATCTGTCCAGAATGCATTACTGCTGGCTACATTACCTTGTTTGCCTTCTGGTTCACGAGGACAAAGCATGACCCACAGGCAGGATGACTCAAGACACACTTACCGTGGCGTGTGAGATGGTCAGAATCCCATTCTTGACAGCGCACTTCCTCCTCTGCCACACCTTCCGGATCCTGTGGAGCAAGTCAAACACAGCCAGATGTGGCGTCCAACCCCCTCCGGGACTTGCAGTTGTATAGTGTGACACGTCCTAATCATCCTAAAAAACCTTCCAAACCAACAATCTAAACCTCTGAAACAAAATTCTGCGTGTTTTTACTATCCCAGACTGAAGGTAATTCAGACAAGTATGTACAAGAATGCTCAATAAAGCCTGTTTTTGAGAGTGACAATGGGAAACAGAAACAATAAAAATCTAACAGCAGGAGAATGGATGAAGGAATTATAGTTACCACAATGATAAAAGTACTTCTCTCTGGGAGGAGAGGACCAAGACCTGTATTAGGGGTGGTGTTAACCGTTTTTAATCACATCTGTGAATCTTTTGTAAGAAGGCGAGAGGTGTTGTGGCAGGATGCGGCAAATGCTCAGATATATTTCTTGTATGATTGAGTAAATAAACACAGAAACACATGCAGCTTGATTTGGGATCAGCAGTTGGCCTCACCTGGGCTGACTGAATATCTCCCACTAGCCCAGTGGCAGTTAAAGGTATTTCCTTTTGAAAGGCAAGTTGCAATTTTAAAGACCCGCCTGGCGCAGGGCAGGTTTTGTTTAAGAAAGGCCAAATGGCCCAGAGACTGGCCATTTCATGGAAATGGAAGAGAGTCTTATCTAAAACCCCCCTTCTGAAGTTGACGGTTAACAATCCTGCAATTCCTGGAAACCATTTGTTCTCCGAAAAATCTAACTTTGCTGAGTACAACCTTGTAAAATTCCAAAGGAAGTATGTAACCACTCAACACGACCCCCTCCCTTACCTAAACGAGGGTATAAGACCCCATGTCTCCTGTTCTGGGGCACTCGATTTGGAGGCATTAGACCCTTGGGCCCACTGGGATGGCCAGCGTAATAAAGTGCCACTTCCTATAATAGTCTCGGTGTCACGATCTCTCTATTTTTCCTGCTACATTTCTGGTGCGTTGGCTGGGAAATGGAGAGTTTGGAGAAGGTGTGTTCCACCTCCTTTGTCATTGAGGTACGACCTCCAGGGCAACGGGAAGGGCAATCTCGCCTGGCGCGCAACGGACCTTTTGATCCATAGGAGGGAGGCCCCTCCTGGCACACTGAAGCTTGGACCATGAAAGCACAACAGGAACCCAAGAGGCGAGGAACCGGCACAGGACGACCACCCGACAGAAAGAACAGAAAGACCACCCGATGGAAAGGGTAGGAATAAGGGCCTTTGCATAGACCTGCCAATGGATGGCAGAAGGGGAGCTTGATCACCTGGAGCCCAGTAGTAATCCTCCAGCCTGAAGGAAAGGGCTGAAAGGCAGTGGAAGGAAACACTGTCTGAAGATGAACCCATAGGCTCCTAGGATTAGGACGGAAGGTTGAAGAATGTGCTGTGTGCTTGTGTGTGAATGAGACGGACGGTGGGAGGGCTCTGCATAAAGTTAGTCTGCGTTGGGGGTGTGTACCAACCTGCCAATTGCTAAGAGGTGTCTGAGATATCTTCGTGAGAAGTATGACTGGAGGGGAACAAAGCGGATGTTTCCCATACTCCTCATTCTCTTATTTGTGTGTGTCTGTCGTTTTAAGTTTGCTAACTTGCTGGTTGAGTTATTATGCTTTGTTTAATGGGACATGTTGTCTTTCAAAAACTTGATTGGTGCATGTTTCTTTAAGTCATTTTATGTCTCCCTTTATTTGTGTGGTGTTTTCTCCCAACCCGTTGGCACTGTTAAAATTTCTGCCTTTTGTTGTTAAGGCTGTGGAAATATTGCCTGCTGTGTATATAAAGTGTTACCCTTTATAAGTGTTATCTTAAATTCTTTCTGGGAACCACGTCCCCTCCCTTCCTTAGCCTGTGTTCTCCTTCATAAATTCTGAAGGAGCTCATTCTAATCCACCTGTAAAGAAACGTAGAAATGTCACTTATATGCGATTTAGCCTTTTGCTAATTCAGTGTAAGTTAATGTTAGCCTTGGAGAAAAAAAACGTGTAATCTTTCTCTGGCAACTAAGGGAATGAATAGGCTGTTCTTGTTTTCAAATGCTAAAAGCCAGGTTAGTTGAAAGTAAGCCTGTTTCCAAAGGTTTAGGCCTTGCCTAAGATCATAATCAACTGCTTGTCCCTGTAAAACTGTTGGGGAGTCTCTTAGAGTCGTGTAATGTATGCTGAGTCCCTACTTTATACTGTAATGCTAAATAACACTAATGCTTGCATTTTTGGCTATGCCTGCCTAGCACACCTGTTATAAAACTGGTAAAGCTTTAAATGCTAAATACTTTGCAGGACTTAATAAGGCATGGGAACTGGCCATTTCCACCTGATTAAGTCACCTTGTAAGTTCAGTACTTCACCTAAGGGACAGGTCAAGTACTAGGCACACTCTGTGGAGCATAGAGTAAAACTTTAATCACTCTCATTTAATTGTCCATGTCTTACAACTAAGTCTGCTGTTTAGTAATTCATGAGAATTTTTGACAATTTTGCCTGTTCATAATTAGGAATAAGTAGGAACAGATCATCTTATATCTATGTGGTCTGTTCACTCTAAAAAGGTTTTGTAACAGGCCATTTTTGTAGACATCATTGGAAAGTCGTGGAGTAGAAAAAAAAAGGGGGGGGCTTCAAGAAAGGCTGAGAACACTCAGTCTGGGAGAAGCCATCAGGGTTCCAGGGATTCCTGGCATTGCTGTTTATGACTTTATTTAGTTATTTGTTTGTTTTAGAATTCTCCTGTGAGTAATAAATTGCAAGTGGTCAGAGCAAATTCTGGGTTTTCAAGAAATGTGACCAAGAGTGTGTGTAGTGGTCTGTGTCCTCAGATACCCCGATAGGACAGATTTTGAATGATTGGAACAAATTAAAATTATGTGGTTTAATAATAATAATAAGTGCATTATTAAAAAATCAAATTTGAACTCACTACAAGTTAGCAGATAATAAAATTTGGAAAAGAACAAAGCTATCTGGTAATTAAATTCACTTTGTAGACACCTAAGGAAAAATAAAATGGTCAAAAGTTCTGTATGCAGAGGCATTTAAAAAATTTATTTCACTACTTTGCAAACAAGATTATATCCTATAGAATATTAAATGCCAAACTCCAGAGGCTTAACTCAGGACTACGAATACCAAACTCCCAATTATAGAAAGCCTCTGAAGTTCTTAGAAACTGAAACATTAAAAAAAAAAAAAGGAGAACTCCAAAATGAGCACCAGCCAAAGGAGAGGTAAACAAACTGGCAGTTGCCACTAAAGGCAAAAGCTCCAGCCACCCAAAAGAGGCCTGATAAGGATAAACCTGCTAAGGGGGATGGTATCAGCTGCTATGAATGTGGTCAATCTGGGCACCTAAAGCACAATTGTTCTTAATGGCCTAAGCCCCTAGAACCTTGTCCAATACTCGGACTAAAAAGCCACTGAAAGAGATGATGCAGCCTCTCCTGAAGCGGGGGGAACACCTAGCTCGGTAATGGCAGCTGTTGACTGAAGGGGGAGGGGCACAGCCCAGTGCAGCACTCTGTATGCCATTCACCCAGAGAATCCTTGGGTCTATATAAATATGGCTGGGGTCTAAATTAATTTCTTAATTAATACTGAAGCTAAGTTTTTAGCCCTTGTGCTCATACTGAACTTCTTCCTCCTAAAACCTGCTCTCCAGTGGGATTAAAGGTGTTCCAAAAACTAAATGTTTCACCTAACAGTTACTAAAAGGTGAATTCAAATTATGACTGTAAAAGGTTATCTATCAATAAATAAAAAGGAAACCAAAAGCAAAGGAAAAATATAAAAAGGTTGTTGGTATACAAATAAGGTTTCAGTAAGAAAACAAAAAAGAAAGAAATAAAAGAAAAAAAATTTTTTATATAAGAGAAAATCTTATATGGTACATTTCTGTCCTATAATAAATAGATATGAGAATTTTTTAAAAGGGGGTAGAGAACAAAAATAAAATAGTATAAATGTGTCAAAAATGGTATAAGAAGTTTATAAGAAAAAAAATATGTATATAACAGAAGAAATTCTATAAACAATCTCGGCATAATAAAGTCTTTTCTAGATGAAAGTCTCCAAACATTTTTGGATTTCTCTTCAAATTTTATACAGGATTTACTTAAGTGCCTAGTTCAAATTATAGTCTAAAACAATCTGTCAGGCTACCATTATAGTCCAGAAATACAAAAGCTGGTACTTGTAATAAAGCCACAGAAATTAAAGCTTATCATTTAAGTTATGTTAATAACTTCGGGCCTTGTAGTTTTTGTACAAAAGGTAATCAGCCACTGCCTACAATTGTCAAAATGTAGGCCTGACTTTATTCCTTTTACTGAGCTAGAATCCAGTAATTTCATGCCCACGTAACGGTCATGCAAAAATTCCAGCCAGTGCCTGCAAACAATGCCACTGCTGAAACAAATCTGGACGCCTCAAGTCAGACAGGGAGAGATTTTCAATCTCTGGTTAGGCAGGACTGCGCCCATTATCAGCTCTGAAGAAATTATAAAAGATGGACCTTCACCCCTCAGCACCCCAAATGATTATGGGATCGAAAAATCTCTAAAGAATAAATAATTGAGGCAGGGTAGCTAGCACAGTCTAGACATAAATAAATTTCCTATAGGTAGGTTTTAAAAGGTGTTCAAACATTTCTACTGCAGGTCGAGTGGCAAGTATCCCACCCCTTGGCAAACCCAGGGAAAACTCCATCAGATGTAAAACTAGGACAGTACAGTCTTTCAGTTTGCAGGTTAGCATAATAATCACTAGAAATCCTTTGGAGACATGAGTAAACTAAACATAGGTATTTGGTATTGCATCACTCAGGGTTCAAGTCCCTGAAATGGAATTTGTTAAACCTTTGAAATTGTTTAACGGTAGGCCTTTGAAGGAAAGAGGGGCCACGAACATAAATGCTCATAAGAAAATGTGTTGTCTACTTGGGACAAATTTTAATCACAGTTTATAAGCTTATTTCCCTAGACACTTCTTGGACCAGAAG